CCCACACTGGAGCAGGTTTGCTGGCAGGACTTGTGACCCCGTGGGGGTCGCAAACCAACACAACTTCATAGCTACTTCATATTTCAGCTGAGGGTGTGGAGTAATATCTCTGTTTATCTCATAATTCTTTGTTCTTCAGTCCTTCTCTTGGTTCTATTTTATCATCCTAGTATTTCCTCCTGACACTGTCATGAAGACATAGTTACTTGATGCCAGAAGATCTTAATACCAGTTGTTAAACTTGAAAAACACCTGATTTTCTTTTTTCCATTCTCTAGCATTTTCCCCTTCCCCAGTTCTCATTGTACTCCATATGAAAAGGTGAGCAGGAATATAAAGCTCAGGAATTATTTCATTTCTCTATTCTGCATCAAACAAAACTACATATTTTACCTTTGGTAGCAGATTCCAATAGCTTGAAAGATCTGGCTATCATCTGGACTAAGCAAGGCTGCTTCTTTAAAGTCCTGAAAAGACATTAAACCATGCAAATTGATATTGTTTCACTTCACCTACAGCTGTGGTTTTAGCTAAACAATTTTATACTTCTACATAAAAAGGGAGATGACTTCTTGCAAAGGCATTAATATGTCAGAAGTAGTGGAGATGTATTGAACTGTTTTCATGCTTGTCCCAGACTTTGATAGGAGAAAATCTCTTCTGTGGTATCACTTCCTACAGAGTTGGAGACAACATTTCCAGAAACAAAACCTTCCAGAAAGTTTTGGGGTTTTTTTTAATAGAAATACTGTACCTCTGCAGCTATTATTAAATACATATATATTGAAAATATATTTTGCTATGTGCAACATCAGTAGAATTCTTCCAGTAATAAAATTATCTAGTTATTTTCTGTTATTACTTTGAAAAACGTAGTAAACCAAACTCATACTTGCTTTGGGAGACTCTATGCACAATGTTCCAGTGAAAGACATTATAGGGCTTTTGACTTTTGCCTTTTACTAACATTCAGAACATTTTTCAAAATGCTTGTGGTTTTGATACATGTGGTTCAATTGTAAAAATTGTACAGGTGCTTTTAAAATCAAATACAGTCATTTCAGTTATGATGTAAGGAAGCACTTTAGGCTTCTGCATGGGAAAGCAATTAGTGCGTAGTAGGAGTGGTTTAACTGATGCGTCCACTGAACTTAGAAAGTATTTTTTACTTGTTCAAATTGTAAAAATAAAAAGATGTGGAAGATTTTAGTACTATTGGAATTACAAAAGTGGCAACATAATGATGTGCAAATATATATATTTATATTTTGTTAAAATAAAACCTTACTATCATAAAATCATAGGTCTGTTTTTAAAATACTACTAAGACACACAGTTCCCATCCAGCACAGCCTTTCAAAGAATACCCAGCAAAGCTAGTGGGATTCTGAATGTGCACAACTTGGAGCATACTCTCTACTTCATGTGTGGAGCAAAAGCAGGATCAAAGTTCCAAGGACCAGGTTTGGTTTATTTAAACCAAAGATGCTATCCTCACAGGTAACTGCACACTTCACAGAATCAACAGGAAAAGACACCTCTATATAGCAATTCAGATCTTACATAGACTGAATTATAGTTTTTCCTTTTTCTTCCAATGTACCTAATTCAGGAATATACTATGCTTAAGTAATTCTATCCTAATTCAATTATATCCTAATTCGACCAGCACCATATCTGTATACAGATATACTCCTTCCAACAAAATATTATCAGAACTGACAAATAAGAAGGTCTTGAGCATATTTATAATCACTGATGTTTTTCTTAAACACTATAAAAAGTGTTATATTTGTGTGTCTGTTGATCAATTACCATTTTGTAAACTTGTCTTCACTACAATCCATTCAAAGAACTTTCTGCTCATCCTGCTGGTTCTGCCCCAGTCTCTTTCTACTGGCTTTACATATCAGTTTGTACCACATCAGCCTCTTTTCTGAACTATTCTAATCAACTGCATCTTGAAGCATGAGACCAATAACACAGTATTTCTACCTAATTTATTTCTGTGCAAGGTCTGCCAGCTTAAAGAGCTTTTGTTGCGCACTTCCAATAGGACATTTCTGGGTCATTGTAATGGGATTCATAGTCATTCTTCATTTTTCATTTGCAAATAAGAAATATTACTAATTTTTTAGAATGCCTATGTGGAAATTGCTGCTATCACATAAAGAATATAACATTTTTAAGATACTAGTCCACAATGGAAGCAATGAATACACCAGCGATACTGAAAATAAATACCTCTGCTTTTAAGGCAAGAATAACTAAAACTTTTAGAAAACTTAAAAACTATTTCAAATTAAAAAATAAAACCTAGGTGTGCGAAAGAGTAATGTTTCACACTGAGATTTCAAGCCTGGTGTTGCTGTACCAGATGAAATCCCATGGAATGAGAGTCATCTGCACTGTGAGTCAGTGTCAGAAACATACTACTTTCTTACATTTAAGAAAACTATCTTCAGGTCTGACCCTTCCTGCCCGTTCAACAAAAATGGTCATTTACACACACACATGCATGCACAGAGGAACAGAACAAGCCCACTCAATCAGAACCTCCATTTACTTAGGCTTCTGCAATGAATTACTACTCATTTGGACACAACATAAATTACTTACAGGTTCAAAAAAAGAAGGAAAAATCAGGTTCTTGCTTATTAAGTTTTGTGCAACTCCCATGTTTAACACTAGCAAGTAAAACTGCATTCTATTTGCATCTTCACTGACAGATTGGTATTTGGTGTTGAGCAAATGAGAACTGGACACAAACTATTTCAGAAGAATATAAAAACTGTCAAGCTGGTCTTTATATCAACAATGTCTTGCATTTAACAGGAAACTCTAAATTTCCTTTACTCAAAGAAGGATTTTGTACCTCACATGCATTAGCATAATCACCAAGTTCCACGTAGAGTAGTCCACGATTAATTAACACTTTAAACGCTATTTCCTCACTCAGTTCAAGCAGAAGAAGAATTCCATAATCTTTCAAAGCCTACAAAAACATAAAATGCATTTTTCATCATAATTTATTCAGAGGGATACAATGACACTTCAAAATTTAAAGGACACGCTTTCAAATTCCTTAAATCATGTGCATATGCATGGACTTCAGTGTGGCTATTCCAATGTTTCACTGTTTCCAGATTGAATTTAACCAAATTTGAAGTCTTCTGTAATTACACAGATACAAAATTCCTAGGCTACAGAAGCAAAAATGAGGCAAATATATTAAATAGACATAATTTTTCATTATATAAATTTCAGAGTTAGAAATAAATTTTCATTATTTCCACTGCTAAATTTTATGTCCAAATTGTTATTAAAAAAATAACAAATTATTCTGGATTAACTAGTCATGAATTAATGTCAAGGTAAGATACTTTTAAAATTAAGTATCTTCAAATATAAGGTATTATTATTGAAAAATCTAAGCACTAGTTGTATTATCTAAATTTGGGTGTTAATTTTGTAAAAGAGCAAATAGCAACACAACTAGGTAGACTGAAGAAGCCTCGGTTCACAATTTTATCAAAACTGAACAGTATTTCAACAATGCTTGATCTGAAGAAGTTCAAGCCCAACTCTTTTTTCACCCAAAGAATGAACTTATATAGTATACTTAAGAATAACTAAACAGTTTAGAGCTAATATGACAAAAATGTCCTTGCAGTATATCATATACTAGCCACTTAAGAGATGTTCTATTCTTTGTCACTTCTAAACTAAGCTAGATATTAGAAACTGCTTTAAAGAAAACAATCCAGTTCTTGTTAGATCTCGTAAATTTCTTCTATCAATTATATACTGCATTTTTTCCACAACTTCCCTTGTACTTTAAATGGCTTTTCTGGAGGGTGATAGCAAAGAACAACTTTTATAATACCTTATTTATGAAGAAACTATCATTTCACATCTTAAGCTTTTACCTTCAGTTACTTTAATCACCTATTTTTCTTCGCCCATCTGCATCATTCTTGGCCAATTAACCTCTACACACAAATGTTTTTTGTCTATGGTCAACTGGATTTGAGAAATCCAAGCTCAAATAAATAGGAAGTAGCCCCGTCTCAGAAAACAGGCATCATCAAAAAGACATTCAACATGATTGTGTTGCCAGTCTGAAGCTGCATGGTGCCTTTGTGTGCCCTGTCATGCCTTTGCGTTAAAACAAAGGCAGAAAGCAGAAACACTTAGAGGCGTGTCACAGGTAAATTGACAGAAGTATAAACACATCCAGAAAAACAGGGCTGTGAATGAGGGTTGGATGTAATCCAAATCTCTGTTTTGATGTAGTATTTCTCTGCATATAGTTCTTATATTTTCAGAGGGATAGCAAATGTAATTAATACCATAGTAGAGTCCAAAAAGCCATTTTTTTAAAACAATTTCCTGAATCGTAGAATGGTTTGGGTTTGAAGGGACCTTAAAGATCATCTAGTTCCAATCCTCCTGCCATGGGTAGGGACACCTTCTACTAGACCAGATTGCTCAAAGCCTCATCCAACCTTGCCTTGAACACTTCCAGGGAGAGAGCATCTACAACTTCTCTGGGCAACCTGTTCCAGTGTCTGACCACCCTCACAGTGAAGAATTTCTTCCTTATATCTAATCTAAATCAATTCTCTTCTTGTTTAAAGCCATTAGCCCTTGTTCTATCACTATGTGCCCTTGAAAAAAGTCCCTCCCCCTAGCCTTCCTGTAGGCCTACTTCAGGTACTGGAAGGCTGCTATAAGGTCTCCCTGGATTCTTCTCTTCTCCAGGCTTAACAGCCCTAAATAAGAGAAGAGCACAATTATTCAGGAAGACGTTGAAAGAGGTCAGATATTTTTACTATTTGACAATAACAGGTTACTAGCTAATATGAACAATTGAGTGCTCATGTGATGTTGAAAAAAATATTAATACCATACCTTTCTGAAGTCCTTTATTTGATGATAACAGACAGCTCTGTTATAATATGCCAAAATGCAGGTTTTGTTGAGGTCGATAGTTTTTGAGAGATCTTCAATTGCAGCTTTAAATGTCTGTAAATGAAAAAATACTGTAGATAAACTGTAATTCAGAGTTCATGGCACTACATATTCTTTTTCAAATCATAGCCTATTGTAAATTTTTTTTTCATAGTTTTAAAGTTTGGTTTTTCATCAGCACTGGAAGGCATCCAACCATTTCACTATGTCCTCTACAGACTCCTTACTGCAGTGAGAGCACTACTTCAGAAGCTCTATTTGTGCAAAGACTGGGCAAACAAACATTCTTAGTGTTTTCTTAAATCACATTCATATACTGCAATACCTAATCAATCCTTAATTTTACTACCTTTTATATCTTAACCTAACATACAAAGTATCTTGTGGAGTTTTGGTACTTCTGCCTATCACTAGATAAGAATCTACTATGTGGAACTTAAAGAGAAGAATAACCAGATAGATGCTCCAACCCATCAATCATTTTCAGTTACACAGAACAACTAGAGACCAGCTTCAGTGGGGAATGGAAAGTATAATAATCAAGTGGAATTCCTAGTTTCCATCAGCAACACTTTTACCATTATTTCACCATTATAAAGTGTCAAGTAAGATACATTAAGTTTTAAGGGAGAATGGAAAAGTACAACAATAAAGACAGTCTCACCTTATTTTGATACTTTAAAGTTCCTCGGTAAAAATAAGCTTGCACACTGTTAGGAAGAATTTTGATCGTCTCATTGCAATTCAGAATAGCCTTAGAGTATCTACCTTTACTTCCATAGTAAGCAGCACGACCCATATATGCCTGTAGAGATGAAGATAGAATGATGACATGGTAAAAAAACAGCTTTGTTTAGCATAAAACAAGGGTTAAATAGAAGACAGAAATTACGAGCTTTATAAAAACACATCTTATGAAGCTTGCAATTTATTTTATTTAATGTTTGTCATGTGTTTGCTTGCATATTACAAGGGAATATACCTATAAACGCAAAATCTGTCAGTCTTTGAACCTATTCAAAAATGCCTCAGAGAAAAAAGCTACCAGGAGTCTTTATATCACCTGGAAATGTGATGGACAAAGGGCAAGTGCTCGATTGAAATCTTGGATGCACTTATCTTGTCCGAGCTGCATTCTACACAGTCCTCGCTGACAAAAAGCATCAGGGTAACTTGAATGTAGTCTGATAGCCATACCAAAAGCATCATGGGCCTAAAAGGATGACATATCATCTGGGTTAAATATGGTCTGTTTGTTCAGCTGAAACCATAGGCTAATTGATTCTTTTGTACTGCTAGGTATGACCTGTTTATCTAGTTGGAAGCAACCATGCATCTGTGTTACTTTTTATCATTTTAATCCATTTACCACTACTTAAAATTTTGTAATGTTGAATACCCTACCTAATGCAATCATAACCTCAAGGATGCACAAACTATTTCATTTAATAATCTTGTTTCTTCAGTGACACTACCAAAGTTTAACAAGTAACATGGTCTTCGGTCTGTAAGAGCTGAAATAGTGAAGCTGTTTATTATAATGGACCATGTGTTAATATGGCTAGTATACAACTCCTTTAAAATCAATCCAGATAGTTTTTTCCTCTACATTGTACATCAGCGTACAAATTAATGGGCTTTTCCAGGATCTACAGCTGTAATATCAGATGCACATTGACACAGAAAGTCATCTTTTGTAATTGTCATGTATTACCACATTAGATATTTCAGGCAATTTTGATGGCCTTCTTCCAAAAAAATATCACTTATGACAAAGAGTCAGGGAACCAGACAGAGAATTTAGGAGTAAAGTTAAGCCTGGGAAGAACAGAAGGGAGAGGGGAAAGTATTTCAAGATTTTTTTTTATTTTCTCATTACCCTACTCTGATATGATTGGCAATAAATTCATTTTCCCCAAGTCAAGTCTGTCTAGCCCATGACAGTAATTGTTGAGTGATCTCGCTGTCCTTATCTCGACTCACAAGACTTTTGTTATATTTTTCTCTCGCTTGTCCACCTGAGGAAGGGAATGATAGAGCAGCTTTGGTGTGCACCTGGAGTCCAGCCAGGGTCAATCCACCACAGAAGCAGACAAGGCAAGAAATTTTTCTCTTTCCTGTGAAATTCTGATACTTCAAATGTTTCAAGTTTCTTTCTTGAGCCTTTCAGCAAATCAACAACTGAAACGTATTTACTAAAACATCAACAGTTTTAGTAACTATCAACATAGAAAACAGTTGCATGAACACACACTAGGCCTGCCGCAAAGTTCACTGATAGGCTTTCAATAGTTTTCAACAAAGTTTCTAATGTAGTTAAAATTATTGATTCTGTTGAAAGAAGGGAAATATGTTTTTCTTAGGTAATGCAGTTTATTTCTTAAGTATCATAAGTGCCAAAGAGAACCATCTAGGAGTGTTACGAGCTACAGTAATACAGAAAACAGTTAACAAATTACAATCAACTCCATACTACAATAATTTAGGAATTCCTTTGTCCAAGTTTACTATCAATTAACTAAGCCACAAATACTCCTACATGAGTGTTGTTTGTCTATAAACCTGTAAAGACATTAATAAACAGATAAGAAATTAATGTAGTTTTTTATTCCATCAGAATGGCAATTAATAACATACATTTAAAAAATCTTAACATTAGCACTGGAAAAATTACTCACAAACTTGCAAGACAGTAATGTACATCGTGAGTTCGAAAGAAAAATTGGTAAAGGCAGGGGAGGTT